CCAAAATGCATGCATATACGTGGCACGTTCTTCCCCACATTTCCAACATAAATCATCCTTAATCAGGCCCATTCTGTGTAGTCTTGACGGAGTATAATAATATATTTGAATTATTTTATACTGAATGAAGTGAATTATTTCTATTCATCCAAATAAATATAATAGTCTTCTCATATTATCAGTTGAGGATCTATTTGTTATAAATCCCACTTGGTCTTTATGGCTGATATTTGGTAGTATCTGATCCAATCTCAGAGCTAGTGTCTTAGATAATATTTTGCAGTCAACATTTATAAGGCTAATAGGTCTGTAATTAGCTGGGTCCATTAAGTCTTTATCCTTTTTCGGTATTAGTGATACAATGGCCTCATTAAGTCTTTCCGGGAGTGAGCCGAATTGGAATGCTTCTTGGAAAACTTCAGTTAGTATTGGGGAGAGAATGTCTACATATTTCTTCTAATATTCTGCTGGGAAGCAATCTACTCCCGGTGACCTCCCAGTTTTCATACACATTATAGAAGTTCTGACTTCAGCTTCCGTTATAGAAACATCCAAATTATTTTTGTCTTTTTGAGAGAGCTGTGGTAGCTTCACCTTCTGAAAAAGGTTATTTAAGTCTTCACAGCTAGTTGAACCCATGGACGTATACAATTCTTCATAAAAGTTTTTAAAAACTGTGTTAATCCACTTGGATGATGTAATTATTTCATCATCTCTTCTAATAGATGTTATAGTGGGATTAACACAGTTTTTAAAAACTTTTATGAAGAATTGTATACGTCCATGNGAAGGAAATCTCGGTCTTCTTTTGTGACTTTGACCAGGTGAAACATAGCCCGTATGTCGCCCATGAATGCCACAGGATCCTGCCTGAAACGAGTGAGAACTCCAAGCAGTGAACTGGTTAGATTGGGACCTTGATAAAGTACATCGTTTAATGATGTTCCTTTAAATGTGGCACCACAATCAAACACCACTCGGAGAGAACCTTTTCGTGGATGGTAAACAATGTGGTGTGGGATGTACCATAATATTCCACTGCCACAGTGCTGCTGTGTTGGTACCTGTTCAGCATAACCCTTTTCAATCACTCCATTCAGAAAGCTGGCATATTCCTTATGCAACATTGGGTTACTCACAAATCTTTTCCTCAATCCAAGTAGCCTTTGCTTTGCCACTGCAAAGTTGTTTGGAAGAAGGACGTCAGGTGTCTTTAGGGGCAACTTCAGGCTGTACCTGTTATCCTGTAGTGTTGCAGATGTATTCATGATTTCCATACATTTTTGGTCTTCCCTCGACATCTCTTTTTCCTCTGAGGGCTTTTCATTAAAGTCATGATTATACTGACTGCTAAGCTCCAATTTGGAAATATAAATCCTATTCACCACAACAGAAGAAAGCTCCATGTCAACATCGCTGCCATTGCTGCTTCCATGTAAAGGACCATTGATGACCCATCCCAACACTGTTCTCATAGCGTATGGGCCATTTCCACAACTGTTGACAATTTCCCAAGGTTCCAATATCTTGGGAGCGTTGGTTCCAATCAACATGTCAACATTGGCATTTATGCTGGGGATATGAACTTTTGACAAATGATTCCACCTCTTCACATCTGCGGCTGTAGCAATGTTTTCTTTGGTTACTGGCATTTGCTTCTGTGTGAGGACTTCTGGAAGAGGATAAAAGTTATTTTCCTCAAGACCAGATACCTGCATCCCAAATAAGGAGTAAGCTGGAACGTCCCATAGTCTTCAAAAGAAAATTAGTTATTTTTCCTGTGATGTTTAATCTTTGCATGAGATCTTCTGAGCAGAAGATCTCACTTCCCTTTGTGGACTTGACCTGCACTGGAATAATTGAAAGAATGCAGCCATCATTTCCGGCCACTGTACGTCCACATGTCTGAGGGGGAATTTGTGATTTAGCGGTTTGTCCCAATTCCACATTAGATGTATTTATGTGGAGCGCAGTAGGATGTTGCTTTTCACAAACCTCACAGATCAAGCGTTGTTTACAGTCCCGGCTTATGTGTCCAATACACAAGCATCCAAAGCAAATTCCTTTCTCCTTTAGAAATTGAATTTTGTCGAGTGACAATGGAACCATGATCTGTGAGAGGTGAATAACACAATTGCACTAAATATTGATTTCATTTATAGTAATAAAAGGTACAAACTATGTACAAAAAAAAATCTGGATTTTGGGGCTTCTGACCATTTTTGGATAATTAAACATGAACTGGGTCAAATTGACCCACTAATATTATTGCTGTTACAAAAAACGAATATAACAGGAGGGACCACGACCAGGCACAATAGGCACACAAAGAATATCCCAGAAAATGCAAACAATACTAAATGTAGCTTCAACAGAACAATCCCTCAATCCGAGAACACAAATCCAGTTTTTCAAGGACAATATTAAATCATTTCTGTGCACATGTATTAATTTGAGAGCATTGTTTATTTATTTTTGTACACACATACGTTTTCCACAGCAGCATTATGCAGGATAATCCACAGATCTGAAGCTAACATTAGCTAACACTATTGCTACGGAAAGTAAAACAATGACAGTGAGCTCTGTAGATTAATCTCACTAAAAGGGACACATGGCTAGTTGGGAGTATTTGGGTGAATTTACAATGCAATACACTTTCGAATCGGATTCTGGAATGTGATATAAAAATAATATAAACTTTTGAAGTTCACACTAGATGGCAGATACCTGATATGAGACTGTTAAAAGTCTACATCTGTTTGCTCGGTACCATCATTAGTTTTCTTCTTTCTTTTCTCTAGCCATGTCACATGTAAGCGTTCCCAGCAGCTGTCACTCCCCTCCGCCCGGCCCCCTCCTCAGCACCGCACTGATGACCCCCTCAGGGAGAGCCTTGATCATGTTCCAGGCCTCGAAGCGGGTCATGTCCTGCAGAGTGACCCCCTGCACCTGCAGCAGTTCGTCCCCCCGCTGCAGCCCGCTCTGCTCCGCGGCCCCCCCTGAACACCGGAGGAAACAAAGAGTCACAATGTAATCAGGACTGGAACCTGGCTTTCACCACCAAAAACACAGACCTAAAAACTCATTATCTTCAGTATGACCGTTTCCAGAAGTTTGTTTTTTTCCCACATAATTTAAAAACCCTGACTTTGTTCAGCAGTGTGATACTGATTATTTCACAGTTCTCTCAGATATGAACTGTCAGACCGTTTAAAGATCTCCTATTATACTATTTTTAGGTATATATTATTGGTAAAAAAAACATGTCTATGAAGTATTTTGCAAAAAAAACCAAACAGATCACCCACTCTAGCCTCATACCCCTCTCTTTCAGCCCTGTTAGAGAACTGCTAATTCGGGGTCCGTAGCTTTAAAAAAAAAAAAAAAAGAACCGCTCCCGTGATTAGACGCCATATTGTGTTCCAAACCTCATCAAGGATCTGAAACAGTACGGAGCTCAAACTCTTTTTCTCTCTCAGGTTTACCACAAGGACAGTACCTTCTATATCCGGCTTCTTTACACATACTCTCTCCAGTACAGGTTAGCTCTGAATGTTAGTCATGCTTGCTAATGTAAACACAGACCATATTACTTCCAAAACACATCACGCATTGTTTCTGATAGCAACGTTTCTGATTGGCCCGTGGGTGTAAAGCCAGCCCACCTTTCAGATATTACGTCATATCGGACCCAAATCTGGATCAGCTCAGTTGTACCCCCGTTTATAGAGATGAGGGTACGGAGGAAAAGAGAGAGGGTTTTATTTTCTGATGCTGCGTGAGTTCCCTGACACATATTATGTTTAAAGACATCAAAAAGTGCATTTGCCAACCCGCCAGGGATGCAGTCTCAGTCCACTTTTATTTAAGCACTTCGAGATTTGTCTTAGCAGGTGAGAAGCGCTATATAAATTAAATGTATTATTATTATTATTATTTAAATGTATTATTTACAATCTTCCTTGAACTGTTGGCTACAATGCTTAGAGAGGATTCAAGAATAGAAGGAGTTGCTGGAGGGGGCAGGGAGCATAAGGATCAGCAGTTCACCCTTGAAAAAGAGATCAATGATCTCAATGGGATTCACCTCCATAAATAAAGGTTTGAAATGAAATGAAATAAGCTTTTTCTTTACGCGGATGACATTTTATTACTGAGTCAGGATCCGACAAACTCCATCAAAGCATTATTAGAAGTTGTTGAAGTATATTCTAAAGTGTCTGGTTACTGTATTAATTGGCACCTGCTCTCAGAATCTGCTATCCAGCTTCGATTTGAAATGGTTTCCAAATGGCATGAAGTATCTAGGGATATAACTACTTTCGGATATAAGAGTAACTATGAATACTAATGTGGAAAAACTACTGAACAAATGTAAAGTTCATTTGGACCAATGGAGTAAGTTACGCATGACGCTGTGGGGGAAGTTGAACCCGATTAAGATGATAAATGACATAACTGGAATGATACCTGTATGCATTCCACAACAATTACTACTTAGATATAACAACATGGTAAAGCATTTTCTCTGGGATGGGAGAAAACCTTGAATTAATATGGACAAATTATGCCAACCAAAAAATAGAGGAGGATTATCATTGCCCAATATGAAGAATTATAGTATTTCTTTTGAAATGTCAAAGCTTGTGAAACATTGGAAGGGTTTAAATACTGATCTGGACTGGGTCCTGATTGAGCAGGAAGTAACCTCCCCTTTTAAACCTAATGAAGCTCTCGCACAGGTGACAACCAACAAGGAAGATAATAACGTGATGAATCCTATTCTGGTAAAAAAGCAAAAAAAAGCAAAAGCAGTTTGACGAGAAGTACAGTACATACAAAATGTAACATTTCCCACAATGCTGAAAGATCTGCACCCTTATGGCACAATCCTAAAATACAAATTATAATCAACCCATTTACTGGGCATAGTGGCTTAAAAAAGGTATCAGGATATTGGATGATTTATTTGAAGCGAACATTTTTATTTCTTATGACAGACTGTAGGAAAAGTTTAATTTGGAGGAACGAGGCCAATTTAG